TACATAGGTATACACATGCCATAGTGGTTTGCTGTATCCATCCCTCTGTCACCTACATTAGGTATTTCCCCTAATGTTATCCCTCCCCAATCATGCTACGCCCTGCTTTCCCTCCCCTATGATGCATACACCTCAAGACGTCCCAGACTATGAAGTTCCACTCCCTGTGTCCATGTGTTCTCATTGTTCAACACCCACTTATGAGTGAGAACATGCAGGGTTTGGTTTTCTGTTTTTGTGTCAGTTTGCTGAGAATGATGGTTTCCAGATTCATCCATGTCCATGCAAAGACATGAAATCATCCTTTTTTAATGGCTGCATAGTATTCCATGGTGTATATGTGCCACATTTTCTTTATCCAGTCTATCCTTGATGAGCATTTGGGTTGGTTCCAAGTCTTTGCTATTGTGAACAGTGCTGCAATAAACATAGATGTGCATGTATCTTTATAACAGAATGATTTATAATAATTTGGGTATATACACAGTAGTGGGATTGCTGGTCAAATGGTATTTCTATTTCTAGATCCTTGAGGAATCGCCACACTGTCTCCCACGATGGTTGAACTAATTTACACTCCTACCAACAGTGTAAAAATGTTGCTATTTCTCCACATCCTCTCCAGCAACTGTTGTCTCCAGATTTTTTAATGATCACCATTCTAACTGGCATAAGATGGTATCCCAACGTGGTTTTGATTTGCATTTCTCTAATGACCAGTGATGATAAGCATTTCTTCATATGTTTGTTGGCAGCATAAATGTCTTCTTTTGAAAAGTGCCTGTTCATATCACTCACCCACTTTTTGATGGGTTTGTTTGTTTTTTTCTTGTAGATCTGTTTTAGTTCTTTGTAGATTCTGGATATTATCCCTTTGTCAGATGGGTAGCTTGCAAAAGTTTTTTCACCTTTTGTTGGTTGCCACTTCACTCTAATGATTGTTTCTTTTGCTGTGCAGAAGCTCTTAAGGTTAATTAGATCCCATTTGTCTATTTTGGCTTTTGTTGCCACTGCTATTGGTGTTTTAGTCATAAAGCCCTTGCCTATTCCTGTATCCTTAATCCTAGATACTGCCTAGGTTTTCTTTTAGGGTTTTTATAGTGTTAGGTCTTATGTTTAAATCTTTAATCCATCTGGAGTTAATTTTTGTATAAGATGTAAGGAAGAGGTCCAGTTTCAGCTGTCTGCACATGATTAGCCACTTTTCCCAACATCATTTGTTAAACAGGGAATCCTTTCCCCATTGCTTGCTTTTGTCAGGTTTGTCAAAGATCAGATGGTTGTAGATGTGTGGCATTACTTCAGAGGCCTCTGTTATGTTCTATTGGTCTATATCTCTGTTTTGGTACCAGTACCATGCTGTTTTGATTACTGTAGCCTTCGTTTGAAGTCAGGTAGCATAATGCCTCTAGCTTTGTTCTTTTTGCTTAGGATTGTCTTGGCTATGCAGGCTCTTTTTTGGTTCCATGTGAGGTTTAAGGTGTTTTTTTCCAGTTCTGTGAAGAAGGCCAATGGTAGCTTGATGGGGATAGCATTGAAATTAAATTACTGTAAATTACTTTGGGCAGTATGGCCCTTTTCATGATATCGATTCTTCCTAACCATGAGCATGGAATGCCTTTCCATTTGTTTATGTTTTCTCTTATTTCCTTGAGCACCATTTGTAGTTCTCCTTGAAGAGGTCCTTCACATCCCTTTTCAGTTGTAATTCTAGGTATTTTATTCTCTTTGTAGCAATTGTGAATGGGAGTTCAATTATGATTTGGCTTTCTGTTTGGCTGTTATTGGTGTATAGAAATGTTTGTGATTTTTGCCATTGATTGTGTGTCTTGAGACTTGCTGTAGTTTCTTATCATATTAAGGAGATTTGGGGCTGAGACAATGGGATCTTCTAAATGTGCAATCATGTCATCTGCAAATAGAGACAATTTGACTTCCTCTTTTTCTAACTGAATGCCTCTGGATATCAGTACTGATTCCACAGAAATACAAACTACCATCAGAGATTACTATAAATACCTTTATATACATAAACCGGTAAATCTAGAAGAAACAGATAAATTCCTGGACACTTATACCCTCCCAAGACTAAACCAGGAAGAAGTTGCATCCCTGAGTATACGAATAATGAGGGTCTAAAGTTGAGGCAGCAATTAATAGCCTACCAACCAAAAAAAAGTCCAGTGCCAAATGGGTTCACAGCCAAATTCTACCAGACATACAAAATGGAGCTGGTATCATTTTTTCTGAAACTATTACAAACAATACAAAAAGAGAGAATCATCCCTACCTCATTTTATGAGACCAACATCATCCTGATACTAAAACCTGGCAGAGACACAACTCAAAAAGGAAATGCAATTCAAAAAAACAAAATGCAAATCAAAACCACACTGAGATACCATCTCATGCCAGTTAGAATGGTGATATACCCAGTAATGTGATTCCTGGGTCAAATGGTATTTCTATTTCTTGATCCTTGAGGAATCACCACATTGTCTTCCACGATGGTTGCACTAATTTACAATCCTTGCAAAAATCTTGATGCAAAAATCTTTAATAAAATACTGGCAAACCGAATGCAACAGCACATCTAAAAGCTTATCCATCTTGATCCAGTGGGCTTCATGCTGGGGATGCAAGGCTGGTTCAATGTATGCAAATCTATAAATGTAATCCATCACATAAACAGAACCCAAGACAAAAACCATATGATTATCTCAATAGATACAGAGAAGGCCTTTGACAAAATTCAACCGCCCTCTATGCTAAAAACTCTCAATAAACTAGGCATACATGGAATGTATCTCAAAAAGCTATTGATGACAAACTCACAGCCAGTATCATGCTGAATGAGAAAAATTTGTAAGCATTCTCTTTGAAAACTGGCACTAGACAAGGTACCCTCTCTCACCATTCCTATTCAACATAGTATTAGAAGTTGTAGCCAGAGAAATCAGGCAAGAAAAAGAAATAAAGGGTATTCAGTTAGGAAAAGTGGAAGTCAAATTGTCTCTATTTGCAAACGACATGATTGTATATTTAGAAGACCCCATTGTCTCAGTCTAGAATCTCCTGAAACTGATAAGCAACTATAGCAAGTCTCAGGATACAAAAATCAATGTGCAAAAATCACAAGCATTCCTATACACCAATAACAAACAGAGCCAAACCATGAGTGAACTCCCATTCACAATTGCTATGAAGAGAATAAAATAGCTAGGATTACAACTAACAAAGGATGTGAAGAACCTCTTTGAGGAGAACTACAAACCACTGCTCAAAGAAATAAGAGAAAACACAAACAAATGGAAAAGCATTCCATGCTCATGGTTAGGAAGAACCAATATCATGAAAATGGCCATACTGCCCAAAGTAATTTACAGTAATTTAATTTCAATGCTATCCCCGTCAAGCTACCATTGGCCTTCTTCACAGAACTGGAAAAAAACACCTTAAACCTCACATGGAACCAAAAAAGAGCCTGCATAGCCAAGACAATCCTAAGCAAAAAGAACAAAGCTAGAGGCATTATGCTACCTGACTTCAAACGAAGGCTACAGTAATCAAAACAGCATGGTACTGGTACCAAAACAGAGATATAGACCAATAGAACATAACAGAGGCCTCTGAAGTAATGCCACACATCTACAACCATCTGATCTTTGACAAACCTGACAAAAGCAAGCAATGGGGAAAGGATTCCCTGTTTAACAAATGATGTTGGGAAAAGTGGCTAATCATGTGCAGACAGCTGAAACTGGACCTCTTCCTTACATCTTATACAAAAATTAACTCCAGATGGATTAAAGATTTAAACATAAGACCTAACACTATAAAAACCCTAAAAGAAAACCTAGGCAGTATCTAGGATTAAGGATACAGGAATAGGCAAGGGCTTTATGACTAAAACACCAATAGCAGTGGCAACAAAAGCCAAAATAGACAAATGGGATCTAATTAACCTTAAGAGCTTCTGCACAGCAAAAGAAACAATCATTAGAGTGAAGTGGCAACCAACAAAAGGTGAAAAAACTTTTGCAAGCTACCCATCTGACAAAGGGATAATATCCAGAATCTACAAAGAACTAAAACAGATCTACAAGAAAAAAACAAACAAACCCATCAAAAAGTGGGTGAGTGATATGAACAGGCACTTTTCAAAAGAAGACATTTATGCTGCCAACAAACATATGAAGAAATGCTTATCATCACTGGTCATTAGAGAAATGCAAATCAAAACCACGTTGGGATACCATCTTATGCCAGTTAGAATGGTGATCATTAAAAAATCTGGAGACAACAGTTGCTGGAGAGGATGTGGAGAAATAGCAACATTTTTACACTGTTGGTAGGAGTGTAAATTAGTTCAACCATCGTGGGAGACAGTGTGGCGATTCCTCAAGGATCTAGAAATAGAAATACCATTTGACCAGCAATCCCACTACTGTGTATATACCCAAATTATTATAAATCATTCTGTTATAAAGATACATGCACATCTATGTTTATTGCAGCACTGTTCACAATAGCAAAGACTTGGAACCAACCCAAATGCTCATCAACTGTCCTATGTAACAGTCCTTCATGATCTGCACATGTACCCCAGAAATTAAAGTATAATGAAAAGAAAATGACATAAGAGGAGGCTGAGATGGGTGGATCACGAGGTCAAGAGATCCTGACCATCTTGGTCTACATGGTGAAACCCCGTCTCTACTAAAACTACAAAAAATTAGCTGGGCATGTTGGCGTGTACCTGTAATCCCAGCTACTTGGGAAGCTGAGGCAGGAGAATTGCCTGAACCCAGAAGGCGGAGGTTGCAGTGAGCCGAGATTGCACCATTCTACTCCAGCCTGGGTAACAAGAGCGAAACTCCATCTCAAAAAAAAAAATAAGAAAATGACATAAATACTAATTTGGAGGATGTTTATAAATGTAAAAAGAAAACAGTATAGTAGGTATTTTATGATCTCACATTATTATTAAGATATTTGTAGTGCTAACTTTGTCAGCACATATACTAAAATTAGAATGATAGGGAGATTAGCACGGCACCTGTGCAAGGATACATAAAATTTTGTGAAGCATACCATATTTTTAAAACTCACCAAAGTACAAAGATTAGTGATATTATGAAGCAATGACATAAACAAGTCTACAAAATAATCAACTAACATCATCATGGCAGAATCAAATTTACACATGACAATATTAACCTTAAATGTAAATGGGCTAAATCCCCCAATTAAAAGACACAGAATGGCAAGCTGGATAAAGAGCCAAGTCCCACTGGTATGCTGTCTTTAAGAGATCCATCTTATGGGTCAAAGACATACCTAGCCTCAAAATAAAGGGATGAAGGACAACTCATGAAGTAAATGGAAAACAGAAAAATGCAGGGGCTGCAATTCTAGTTTCTGACAAAGCAGACTTTAAACCAAGTAAGATAAAAGAAGACCAAGAAGGACATTACATAATGGTAAAGTGTTCAATTCAACAAGAAGAGATAACTGTCCTAGATATATATGCACCCAATACAGGAGCACCAAGATTCATAATCAAATTCTTAGAGACCTATAAAGAGATTTAGACTCCCACACAGTAATAGTGGGAAACTTTAACACCCCACTATTAGATCATCAAGTAAACCTGATAGATAACAACAGAACTCTCCACCCTAAAACAACAGAATATCCATTCTTCTCATTGCCATACAGCACTCACTCAAAAACTGATCACAAACTTGGAAGTAAAACATTTCTCAGTAAATGCAAAGAACTCAAATGATAACAAACAGTCTCTCAGATCACAGCAAAATTGAATTAAAACTCAAGCTTAAGAAATTAATTAAAAATCACACAACTACAAGGAAACTGATCAACCTGCTCCTGAATGACTCACGGGTAAATAATAAAATTAAGGCCAAAATCAAGAAGTTATTTGAAACTAATTGGAACAAAGAGACAATGTTCCAGAATCTCTGGTACTTAGCTAAAGCAGTGTTAAGAGGGAAATCTATAGCACTAAATGCCTATATCGAAAAGCTAGAAAGATCTCAAGTTAACAACCTAATGTCACAACTAAAAGAATGAGAGAAACAAGAGCAAACAAACCTCAAAGCTAGAAGAAGACAAGAAATAACCAAGATCAGAACAGAACTGAAGGATACAGAGACATAAAAAAAAAAATAAAAAATAAATTAAAATACTTGAAAAAATCAACACATCAAGAAGCCGTTTTTCTTAAAAAAATTAATACAGTAGATAAATTACTACCTAGACAAATGAAGAAGAAAAGAGAAAAGAATCAAATAGAGACAATTAGATATGATAGAGGGGCTATCACCATTGATGCCACAAATACAAATAATCATCAGAGGATACTATAAACAGCTCTGTACACATTAACTAGAAAATCTAAAATAAATTGATAAATTCCTGGACACATGCAACCTCCCAAGACTGAACCAGGAAGTAGAATCCCTGGATAAACCCATAACAAGTTCCAAAATTGAGGCAGTAAGAAATAGCCTACCAACTAAAAAAAGGAAAGCCCAGGACCAAATGGATTTACAGATGAATTCTAGCAGAGGTACCAAGAGAAGCCAGTACCATTTCTTCTGAAACTATTGCAAACAATTGAAAAGGAGGGACTTCTCCCTAACTCATTTTCTGAGGCCAGCATCGTCCTGATAGCAAAACCTGGAAGAGATATAACAAAAAAAAAAGAATATTTTAGGCCAATATCTCTAATGAACATCAATGAAAAATTCCTCAATAAAATACTGGCAAACTAAATCCAGTAGCAAATGAAAAAGTTTATCCAGCAGGATCAAGTTGGCTTCATCCTGGGATGCAATGTTGGTTCAGCATACACAAATCAATAAATGTGGTTCATCAGATAAATAGAACTAATGACAAAAAATACATGATTATCTCAATAGATGCAGAAAAGTCCTTCAATAAAAGTCACCAACACTTTGTATCATAATAAAACTAGGTATTGAAGAAACATACTTCAAAATAAGAAGAGCTCTATACGAGAAACCCACAGCCAACATCATGCTGAATGGGCAAAAGCTGGAAGCATTCCCCTTGAAAACTGGCACAAGACAAGGATGCCCTCTTTTGCCACTTCTATTCAACATAGTATTGGAAGTCTTGGCCAGAGTAATAAGCTTCCATTGAGAAATAAAATAAAGAGTATTCAAATAGAAAAAGAGGAAGTCAAATTATCTTTATTTGCAGATGGCATGATCCTGTATCTAAAAACCCTATTGTCTCAGCCCAAAAGCTTCTTCATAAGCAACTTCAGCAATGTCTCAGGATATAAAAATCAATGCATAAAAATCCCTAGCATTCCTGTGCATCAAAAACAGGCAAGCAGAGGGCCAAATCACAAATGAATTTCCATTCACAACTGCCACAAAAGGAAGAAAATACCTAGAAATACAACTAACAAAGGAAGTGTAGGACCTCTTCAAGGAGAATTACAAATCACTTTTTAAAATATCAGATCAGAAAGGACACAAACAAATGGAAAAATATTCCATGCTCATGGATAGGAAGTATCAATGTTGTGAAAATGGCCATACTGCCCAAAGTAATTTATAGATTCAATGTTATTCCCATTAAACCACCATTGACATTCTTCACAGAATTAGAAAAAAACTATTTAAAAATTTATATGGAACCAAAAAGGAGCCCAAATAGCCAAAACCATCCTAAGCAAAATGTAGAAACCTGGAGGCATCACACTAACTGACTGAAAACTATAGTACAGGGCTATAGTAACCAAAACAGCATGGTACTGGTACAAAAACAAACACATACACAAATGGAACAAAGTAGAGAACTCAGAAATAAGACTACATACCTACAAGCCTCTGATCTTTGACAAACCTGACCAAAACAAGTAATGAAGAAAGGATTCCTTAATTAACAAGTTGTGTTGGGAGAACTAGCTGGTCATATGCAGAAAATTGAAACTAGACCCCTTTCTTACACCTTAAACAAAAGTTAACTCCAGATGGATTAAAAACTTAACTGTAAATCCCAAACTATAAAAAACTGAGAAGTAATTTAAGACATAGGCATGAGCAGAGATTTCATGACAAAAACACCAAAAGCAATTGCAACCAAAGCAAAAATTGATAAATGGGATCTAATTAAGCTAAAAGTGCTTCTGCACAGCAAAAGAAACTATCAAGAGAGCAAACAGACAATCTACAGAAGGGGAGAAGATTTTTGCAATCTATCCATCTGACAAAGGTCTTATATCCAGAGTCCACAAAACTATTAAATTTATAAGAAAAAAACTCATTAAAAAGTAGGCAAAGGGCATGAACAGACACTTCTCAAAAGAAGACATTCATCTGGCCAAGAAACATGAAAAAAATCTCAACATCACTGATTGTTAGTGAAATCCAAAGTAAAACCACAGTGAGATACTATCTCACAGCAGTCAGAATGGCAATTATTTAAAAGTCCAGAAACAACAAATGCTGGTAAGGTGCAGAGGGAAAGGAATGCTTTTATAGTGTTGGTGGGAACATAAATTTGTTCAACCATTGTGGAAGACAGTGTGGTGAATTCTCAAACATCTAGAAGCAGAAATATCATTTGACCCAGCAATCTCATTATGGGGTATATACCTAATGGAATATAAATCATTCTGTTATAAAGATACATGCATGTGTATAACATGGAATTACCAAAATGCCCATCAAAAATAGACTGGATAAAGAAAATGTGGTACATATACACCATGGAATACCTAGGCAGCCATAAAAAAGGAACAAGATCATGTCCTTTGCAGGGACATGAATGGAGCTGGCAGCTGTTATCCTCAGCAAACTAGTGCAGAAACAGAAAACCAAACACAACATGTTCTCATAAGTGCAATTGGAACAGTGAGAACATATGGAGATGTGGGGAAACAACACACACTGGGCTTGTTGGGGGTTGAGTGTGGAGGGAGGGAGAGTATCAGGAAAAATAGCTAATTAATACTGGGCTTAATACATAGGTGATGGGATGATCTGTGCTGCAAACCACCATGGCACACATTTACCTACACAAGAAACCCACATCCAGCACATGTACCCATGAACTTAAAATAAAAGTTGAAGATAAATATTTGTATATGCATATTTATTTTTAAATGCATAGATGATTTCTAGAAGGATACATTAGAAATTATTAAATTATTAACAGTAGTTACCTCCTGAGAGTGAGTTTCTTCTCACTCTTCACTTTATGATTAAAATTTTTGATCAATATATATTTATTGCATAATAAAAATGTTTTCCATTCTTCTCTCTTCTCATGGTTCCCATAAGATGTCAATATATTGTTTAGAAATTCTGAATCAGGAAATGCCCATCACAAGGTATATGCAACATAATAAAAATAAAAAAATTAGAGTAAAAAGAAATTAGGGCAGAAAACAAATTAAAACTAAGATTTTGTCCACAAACAATTCTACTAAATAATTTTTTCCAATTGTTAGAGATGGACTGTTCCTCGTTAGATGAGCGATTTCTTAAACAGTTTGTTCCGGTTGTTAGAGAAGCTCTGTGCTTCCAAATGTCTGCGGGAAATGGGCAAATGTGATGAGTTTTGAGCAGTATGTAATATTATCCTGGTGCTATGACCTAGGAGCACTTTCTACTACCCGTGCTTTTCAATGGGACATTGTTTTCATGGTAATCATCTTATTTCTTCATGGAAAGGAAACTGTCTATGTAAGAGAAGGGCAAATAAAAGAATCATCAGTTGACTTCAAATCAAGGAAGTTTTTCTTTAGAAAAACGATTTTGCTTCCTGACATATTTTATCACATAAAAGGAAGCTTAGATAGTTCAAGATTTGTTAATCCTAAACTAATAACAAAAAAATACTTTAAAACTTTGTTGTACAGCCCTGAACTACAAGAAAACTTGGAAATGTTCTTGATGTAGAATCAAGAAGATGCATAAAAACAAGGAAATGTATGTTTTTCTGGTAAAATGCTATACTACATTGTGGACTTTATTTTCATCCAAAATTTAGGCCTCCCTACCACTAACGATAAATACTAGCATTTTCTTTTAGGAATT